TATATACATATACATATATACATATTTGTAAGTATATATGTACGTATCTTTGTATGTATATACGTATGTAAGTATATATATAACGGATGTATATAAGAACCGTATGTATAGAAGAGCATGACGTTGACAGGAGGGTCTATGAAAGGAGCTTCCTTCCATCTACTGCACTGACGCTTATATGATCTGTTTTTGTTGAGGCAAGATGGAAAGAGAGAAACGGGGATTGGTCAAGAGGAAGATAACACGTCAACTTCGAGCTGTAGGCTCCCTTAAAGCACGTGATCCTTGTCTTTGAGAATGGAAACACACTGTAACACCTGTACTCTCTATGGGGGTTGTTATACATCGTACATTGAAGGCTTTACGGAAGGCAGTATAGCAGCAGCTACTGTGCTATGGAGGGTCTTGTGGTCTGCCTTTCTGTGAAGAGGGGGGGGGATGGAAGGAGTATTCATTGCCAATAAAGAGTCCAAGAACATCAGGCGGTGCATTCAGTCATCCCTCTGCATGGAAGAGCTTGGAAATCATCACTGACAAATCGGACACTAGCAGGCAGTCACAAAAGGAGCTCTATTGTGGATAGTATGAGAAGAGCAGATCAGCCAGGCCCGCTACAGCAACGTAATGTGTGCGTGGTCACTAGCCAGGCTTACTAAAGTAGAACAGATTGGGATCACTATATAGTGGGGTCGCTGGTGCTAGGACTGGTAAGGGTCACTAGATGGCTGGATCACAGTCGCTAAATCTGGGCAGGATCGCTATACAGTGAGGGTCACAGGTGCTATATTGCAAAGAGCAACAAAGCTCCGAGGGGAAAAGAGTGTTCTCGGACTAATGATAGTAGACTCTCGGATTTTGTTTTCTTGAGGTGAGGCTCAAGGGGAACTTGACTCTTGGGTGTGAACAGCTAATGCACGCGGCTTCTCTGTTGGAGAGAACTCACAAGTGCACATCGCGTACAGATCGATTCTAATTGGATACTGAAGAGCTTCGAGTCTCTGTCATCAGTACTGGTGTTGCTCTGCTGAAGAAGAGGGAGGTGACGGCAGCACACCTCGAGTGGCACAGCTGCCTCGGTACATGACGCACATACCATCTTTGATCCCACCGCAGGTCACCTTGACCGACCTGCACAAGACCCCTGTCCTGCAAGGCGGGTCGCGCTCGCTCGTTTGAGAACTGAGCGAGGCGAGGCCACGACGCCATCCAATTTTCCTCCTCAGGGGCGAGGGCGGCCGCCTTCTGGGCCGGCGCGGGCGGCCCCGTCATGTGGCGAGATCAAGGACGGTGTCGCGTACGTGCGGGAGGGCGAGGGGCGGGGGTGCCAGTGTGTAGGGGGAGAGAGGGAGAGACACAAGTAGGTGCAGGAAGGGGAGAACAGGGCGAGGGGGCGGGGGGAAGGGCGATACTGAGGGAGGTGTGCAGCCTGGGGGGAGGGGTCAAGGGTTATCAGGAGTCGCATTCACAGATAAGAATAGAGTAACAACTGCAGCCAATAAAAAGGAGACTTACAAAGAACACAGAGGACAGTATCGGCAAGCAGAGGACCAGGTCGACAGAGTGCGGTTTGGAGTCGCCATTGTGGAGGACCGCGAGCAAAGGGTAAGCCGACGCCATAGGAGAGGAAAGGCTGTGGTGTGTCACTGTCCTGTTTATGGTTTGTTTGTTTAGGTGGAAATTCCAGCCTTGAAAATGGCATGTCCCTTGTCCCTTATGTTGAAGTATATTTCCTAGCTAACGAGCTGTATTGCCGTACGCATTACTGTTCAAGTAACTTCAGACCAGCCACACTGAATATGTACAAACTGCTGGCGGTACGGTGTAGACAAAAGGTGATTGTGGTCACATCTATAGTGTCAAAAGTGTATATATATATGCGACAGTCTAGTGCCACATTAGACAGGTGATAATACTGCCGGTGTAATAGTGTAGAGAAGTGAAAAAAACATTGATAACGTCGTGGTGTAAAACATAGAGACGTTGAGAGCTGCCACTAGATATGGCGGCAATAACAAGGTGGTATTACAGTGTGCAAGTGTTGATGTGCTAATAAGAATGATATCATGATGGAGTTAAGGTATGTTTCTCGTAAATCTTACTGTATACTATGACAGATTTGTTTTTCTCAACTGTACCTGACCTTGGATTTACTAGTATGTTGCACAAAATCCTGAAAGTGTTTTCATGTACTCGCATGTTCGTATCTATGTGTGTTGTCCCTGACAGCTATATGGATCCGAACCGTGTCCATAGTGTGATACTCTTACTTCAGGTAGAATTTTGGAATGGTTTTGTGTCGTACTTGAAAGCTGTCAGATAGCAGTGAGCGTGAGTAAGTGTGTCGTGTTATGGCTATTTACAAGGTCACTGCAGGCAGGTAGAGAGCAGAGTGGAATGCAGGAGGATTGGGGAAGATGGTGATGACTGTGATTTTTGAAGGTGGTTACGATGATGATGATGATGGTGATTATGACGTTTGCTTGTTACTGAAGTAACTTAC